CCATTATTATCCTATGTGCAGGCCTAGCCTCCAGTCTCCAAGAGACAAAGCACCTTAAGCCACTACAGGCAGTGGTGGCAGGCACTCTGCTGCTTTGGTAGGCAGTGACACTGTCCTGCAAAGCAGTGCATGAAACCCACATTAAAAGCTCTGTCTTCCCCATTCCTTGAAGGCAACATCTCTGCCATAAGCAGCTTCTTGACACCAAGCTTCCAAACTGCCTTTTGCCAACCACCTCGCTGCAAATGCTAACCAGTTCCATGAGCTGCCAGGTAGAAAGCCAGTGCATATGGGAACAGCACGAGAATCATACCAAATGTTTCTCAAAAATGTAACACCCATCAAGTCATGATAAAGGAGCTTCACAACTTGCACACAAATAACAAAGCCATGCACAACAGTTGTAAGGAAACGCTCCTGCCAGTAAGAGCTTACATTTTAAATGGTGAGAATCCCATAATTAGCTGAGCATAGGTCTGTAGATCCACCTGCACAAAGCTCTTCACAGATCAGTGTCCCCTTAGAGATGATGATATAAGCTGTTTTTTGGTTTACCTTTCCCTTCTCAAACTTAGCAGCCATTTACAAACATGTGATCAACCATTTCCATATACATTGTTTGCTCATTTATTTCAGACAACACATTGCTGGGATTTTTAATTCCACCAAGAATGTTAATCTACCTTCAAAGGTAAAGAGAAATAGCACTGGCTGCTTTGTTCTCCCCCTTAGTCATGCCCAAGAGTAGTTGCTAAAAGGCCACAAAAGACGTATAAAAACAGGCTCCACTAGGAACTCCAAAAAAGTTCACCTCTTATTCCAAAATTGAATCCTATTCTCCCACCATGTTTATGGCTTCTATTTCAAGGAGGGGATCTTGGCAGGGAGAAGTGACCATTTCTGCATCAAGAAATAGAGCATCATAATATTGTCAATGCTGCATTCAACAAACAATATTCCAGATAAAAGTTGCATTTGTAGCTTTAACTCCTCTAATTTTAAGATTATTTTGTGTACATATTAAATAAGTTTCTTGGAGAAATTATACCACAATGCACCACCTGTTATGAGCACAGGAACTCTATCACATACACAGATATAAGACATCAAAATACTTTGAAGACTTATAATCTTGCCAACTGGTATTCTTCATACTAGATGTAGCAAACGAACAATTCAGCTGATTTGGTTTGCTTTTTTTAACAGTAGCTTCCCAAGGGACTTACATGGCAGTTGGGAAACTGGAAGTTCATTTGTGGGGGATTTTTAACTAAAAAGAGAACTGATCCCATTATGACCAGCTGCAGTGTGGAATCACCATGCATCAACATTTAAGTTTATAATCATTACCAGAAAGCAAGAACTACTACAGGACTAAGACTCCTACTTGCTGCTAACATCAGCTGGCCCACAACAAGCAGCACTGACTCTGGAATAATGACTATGCAACCCAGTCACACACTTGCTTTCTCCCACTGGGGGAGACAGAGTGACTACTAAAAATAGGAAATAGAGTCACTGTGACCATGGGCCGATCCCAAAGTATTCAACATGTGACGAGATCTGACTCAGCACTCCCATCTCCCACCAGAACAGCTGCCCTGAGGGTTTGGAAGGAAGGAGAGAAAAAATGGCAATTTCAGAAAAGTATATATTTCAGTTACAGACCAATCAAAAGGTTCATCTTAGTTTCAGGCCTTTCTCCTTTCCAAATTTCAAAGGCCTGATGAAGACAATAGATGTGACAGAGCTTCTCAGAAAGCATGTGCATTATTTTTTTTAAAACGGGAAACATTAAGCAAGCTAACATAAATGCAGAGGCCACTAGCAAGTTCTTCCAAACATGAAGGAACAAATTCCTCTTGCAGCTCTTCACAGCATCTGGCAAAAGACATTAGGAATTTTTTTTTTTTTCTACAACGTGGCAATAGATTTCAACTTCACCTTTAGATTTATGTTAATACTGGATATTACTCATGGAAGGAAGAAAATTACTCACATGAAATTTACATGCACAAACTACAAGTACTGCCTTACGCATCAAATTTCACAACTTCAACATACAGATAACTTTTATAAAGCACTGCAAAAGTTCCAAGTTAGCTCCAATTTCTGAGTTAAAACTAGAATGCAAAGTCAGATTCTAAGAACTACATTCATTTGCATAAACCCATGTTTTGTTATTCTACATCCTAACTTATGTTATCAGCATTATCTTGGGTTTTCCAAAAGATTCCATGTTAAAATACCAAACCGCAAGAAACTGACCTCAGTGTTTGTGAAATCTTTGACTGACACACTCCATATAAATGCCACGAATCCCTTTTCTGTCAGCCACCAACAGCAACCAGAATAGATACACATGAAGAGGGGATTGAATGCACCAACTTTTTTGTTGGATCACAATAAACATGCCAGATATTCATCCACTGATTGCTTTTTGGAAAGTTTGTTTTGAAAACAAAGGATCATTTACTTGTGTCTCCCTCCCCCATTCTAAGAGAGAACAGAATTAAGTTTCTAAAGAAGAAAAAATAAAGACCAGTAATTGTCAATAATCTAAATGTATCCATCAAATTCTCCACAAGTACTGCCCATAGCTGTATGCTGCTCCACGAATCATTCAGACAACAATGAATAAAAAGACTTGCTTTTGTTCAAATCACACACAGTGGGATTACATGTGCACTGCCCCTCCACGTGTTAATTGAAGACAAAGCTTTGCTTTGAGCTCATTACTGCTCTTACAGAGAGATAGGTGAGTTTAGAAAGTTTAGCATATTTCTTGGTTTCCGAATTTAAGTAGTTAGCTTAAGTACAGCTGCACACCAGGAAACAAACCCAAGTTGCACAAGTTCCATCACAACTCTCAGTTCAAAAGACTACAATAGTGTACGTGCAAGGAAAGGGATAGGGAGAAAGAACAGAAAGAAAAACATCTTCAGCAACTTCACAACAGCTTCTTAACAGTTGTTACAGTCTTTAATAAAGAAAAGGAACAGCAGGCAAGTTGTCCTCCTAACTACAGTAATCAGGGTGCCTTGAAAAAATATAAGCAGCCCTAGTGATAAAAAGATAGATCATTTCACCAGTTCTCACTAGGGGTTTGATATTCTAGAGCCACTGACATCAAGGGAAGCATGATTACATCTTAATTGAGCCTTCAAATAGTGCATTTCAGAAAGCAAAGTAGCATTACCTGGTTTTACTATATTTTAAGAGAACCAAAACACACCAGGTTTCTGAAACATAATTAAAGCTATTTTGAGACTGCAGCACCAACCCAAACTCAAACATGTTTCTAGTCACCATGTTATTTCAGGAAATGGTTCACAAACTGTCCCTAGGATCTGACTGACAAGATGAGAAATAGGAGGGGGGAGGGGATCTACAGGAATGTTTGTACTTCCCTTCTGCTTAATCCTGCCAAAAAAAGTGTTCCAGACTGTCACATCACCAATATTGCAATTTACATCACCAAATAACTACACTACTAGGAAATGTGCCCAGTTCAGAGCAATAACTATCAAATTTCACAGTCTGGCAGCAAAACATAAAGCAAAGTAGCATAAGTAGTGAAACAGAAGTGGTGCTTAATTTTTTTATTATTAAAAAACAGAACTGCCAACTAAAGCCAGTTATCCTGCAGGTCTAATCCAGGGAAACAGTTTATTATAAATTAAGCCAGGAACCTTCCCTGTAAAAAGACCCTCTGGTACATGAAGCAGAACAGTGATAACAAAGCTGCTAAACTGCATGCAAATAACATGTAAGATTACCCCAGATTGGGTAAAACCTGGTTTAAAAAAAAAATTCAAAAAAAAAATTCACAGCAACGGTGAACTACAAAAATTTTAGACTTCATTCTCAAATAGTCTCCTCAATGAGCAGGTGATATTATCAAACACCAAATAATCAACTAAATAGTAAGGGCCTGTCTTACAACTAGAACTCAAGGCAAAAGGGACATAGTCAGGGAAGATATGTGGAAGCAAGGTCTGCTCCACCAATGCTAAGGATGAAGGAGCCTTCATTTTGAAATCACATTCTTCAGCTAAGTTTTTCACCCTGAATTCCAAAGGTGCAAATTATTCTCAAAACAAATTTAACTTGGTGCCTGTAAAACAAGATGTTTCTTCAGCTACGTGGTTCATGTACTCCATATCAAAGTTGGTAGCTTCAACAGCTTTTTACTGAGGACTTCAATGTGATATGTGCTTGCCCTTATTCTGAGCAAAGCCAATAGCTACAGTGACTACACACAGAGCATCCACTCAGAGCTTTGTTCAGACATCATGCATGTAAATTTCCCCTAGTACTGCTCAAATTCATAAGCAGCTGCATGAAAGCTTTTTGGAAAAAAATAAAATCATTTAAAAGTCCATATATCAGTTTGTAATATGCAAAAACCCATCGAAACAAAGAGGCTGTGAACAATCACTTCTATAAATTCAGACATGAAGTGAAATCAGCACCCTCTTGGCTCTGTGGTCCTTTCAGAGAATGCAGCTCCACAATACATGACCACCAGCAGAGAAGCCAGTTTTTAAACAGCTTTCTATTCCCATCCTGAAGTGCAGTTCACCACCTTCTCAGGGCTGCTGATACAGCTGTTCACCAGCTGTGCTATGAATCACCAAAACGCTCACTTAAAACCAGATACTTTTAACCCAGATCATTTCAGTGACCCAGTTTTCCAGAGCAGCCTCATAAACAGCACAGGCATAAGCAAAAATGCCAAAAGGCTCCTACAACCTGGGTAAAGTTCTCAAACAGGCGTCTCTCCTCTTCCCAAAAGAAAACACAGGCTGCAAATACACCCTCAAAATACAAAAAATCTAGATGCACAGAAAGCATACTGAAATCTCCCGGTTTAAGGTGATTTAATCTCCTGACTTAAGGTGAGCTCCTTGAATTGGTATCTTGATTCCTTGGATACCTTGGAATGAATATGTGCCACCTAGTGCGTCAGTCACAGCCAAGCAAATAAAATAACTTACCAAACGTCTAGCAAACTCTTTATTTTCTGAAAGAAATCCATAGCCCGGGTGTACCTTGGAAGACAAAAGAAAAATAAATTCAAGCTGATTGAGTTCTGAAATCAGACACCAAATTAGCTAGTACCTTTCCAGGTACTGGGAAAGATGAAATAGATCACTAAGCATTTCAATAGGTTGAATACCTTAAGAAACTGTCATGACACACTGATTTATCTGTGCTAAGTGATGTTGCACTACCATTTCTGAAACAAACATTCCTTACTCAGCTAGGGAGAAATGTGCTGTTTGCAGAGCAATGGACTCATTCCCTCTGGTGATTTGCCTTCTGCTCTTTTTAGCTCCACTGCAGACTTCCACTTATCATGCATGCTCCTCTCAGTAACCACTATAAAATATCCTCATCCCAAAATATTTCCAGCACTAACCACAACAGTGGTCTTGAGGTCTGCAGTCATAAGACTCCTGCCCCTAGTGATCCTTGCTGGAGAGCACAGGATACTGTCTTCACTAGTCTAAGTCAAGCATAGTTGTGTACCTAGTTTGCTATGCACACCCCAAAATACACTGAGCATAAGTGAGAGGAGTATAGAGTTTTCCTTTTACTTTTCCTAATTCACATAAGATTCTTCATCTAATGTACTCTGATAGACATAAGACATTTTAGCCCCCACATTTATCCCGCCAATAACTGGGTTCCATATTCAGAAACTCAGAGGGAAGAAAATATTTTTTTCTTTATAGAAAAGTTTTTGGTCCCTGAAAGCACTGTACCAAAACATCATCTTTGAAAGAAATTGGTGATCCATCTGTTCCAGGGTAATTAGTGTTGCTCACATATACCCATCAAATTTTATTTTAATAAATGCTCTGTGTACAGTAGCTCTGAATAATGCATTTATTTCACTGGCAGAACAAAGAACATTAGGCATTTGAACATGACCACATATTAGTTTTTCCAACTGATTCCTGTTAAGCTTTGAATCTCTGGCCAATTTGGAGGGAGAAAGGCAGACCAGCCCACATTTACACACAAGCTAGCATGCATTTTGTAAACATTTGAAAAAAGAACAATTATGGGATACACCATTTGCCCTACGTTCCTGCAGATAACATTTATAAATGTAGATAGTGAGTCAAACAAAGTTTAAGCAAAAGACATTTTGGACACACTTTGTAAAACGTTCAGTAAAGCCATTATGGCATATAAAGGGTGAGCGCTCAAAACTAATTGGGATTTTTTTTTTCCCCCTCAGCAAATTTGGAAATGAACTGAAGCTGCTCCCTGGTGTGAAAGCTGAATCCAGCAGCCACCTGCAGGATCAGCGACCAGTGCTGCCAGATGCTACAAAGCCTTTGATTTCCAGTAGCGATTTCAGACACATTTAACTCATGTGACATGAACTAACTGGAATAGCATATTCAATCACTTCCTCACACACACCTTCTTTAAAAATAAAAAAAAAAACACCAAACTCTGGCTTTTGTGCTTTCTATGAAACAGCTGCAGCAGCCAGGCTGATGGGGACTCACAGCTTGGGCCCCGGTTTTCCTGACGACGCCCAGGATGGCCTCCATGTTGAGGTAGCTCTGGCTGGTGGGAGCTGGGCCAACGCACTCCGCCTCGTCCGCCATCTTCACATGCACCTGGAGAGCAACACTCGCCGTTAACAGATGCTCCAGCAAAAATAATTACCAGCACCCCTGTACGTGCACACAGACCTGATTGTCTGGGATAATTTACATACCTAACCGCTCCGAAACGCGCGCTGAAGTCGCCCGCGCTGACGCACGAGTACCCGCGCCATAAATCTCATTTCACTGAACGCCCGGCTTAAGTCACTGTCAAAATGTTTTATTATGCCAATATATTGAATTTGATTCAATAAAATCGTGACAAATAGAATTTCAGCTTCCTATACCAATCATCTATATGCAAATTCAGACTAAAAACTACTTTGTTACATGTAACCAGGGTAGGCTAATATCTTAATACTTAATAACAAACATTCATGGCCAGTTCTAAGCAGGCTCCCCAGGAAGTTGGGGATAATTAGAGTGAATTGAATGAAGGGATGCAGTGAGTGTCCCTGCACAGCATCAGGTCAGCACCATGCACAAATTAAAGCCTATGACTAAAGAGTTCAATATCACTACACGTGAACCAGAAAATCTTGAGAATTATTTAAGCAGGCTCATGTTTGATTCCTAATCCATTGCATCCTCATTTATATGCATTTGCCAAATATTTTTCAGCCAAACACAAAAAGGGACAAACATTTCCAGCATTTTACCAGGAATAATAAAATAGCAAGGCTTGAAGTCAGAAGTTTACTTACAACTCACATGCCTGCTTACCTTGAATAAAAAGTTACAGTAGTTTAATTAGATTGGTCTTTAACGCGTTATCAGGGTTCAGAATACTTTTCTTTGAAGTAGGATACACACAGACCCAAGGAACCAAACAATCAGTTTTTTCTCATTCTGCTTTTTGCAAGCTCCCTTTCAGTGAGTATCTCAGAAATCATGGCATTGCTGAAACTGTGTAAGACTGTTAGCTACATGTCAGCACGACTTGCTAATAAGGACAATTTCACATTCCCAGTGCTTTCCATTTTAAAAGTTATTTTTAGGAACTATTTGATATCATCTCCATTTGAAACTGAGAATACATTGTTTCACAAAGGGTATTCTTTTAGAAAATGAGAAACAAAGTATTTCTGGTTTATGAATGAGTGAAAAGGAATTTTATTTGCAAGTAGTATGAAGGCTTTCAAGTATGACAAACTAAAGTTAAAAGAATGCTAGCCTGCATAGACTATTGCATCGAGAAAAAAAACAAGGCCAGAAAAAAAATAACCATCTAGAAACAGTGCCAAGCAATAGTCAAGCGATATTTTGAACAATACAATGAGAAATAAATATTCTGGTAAATAAAATAAACGTATCACAAGGGTAGGAGTCACTTATTAAGCATTTAATGTTTTCTTCATTTTTACTGACACTTTCAGAACTTTGCAAAAGTTATTCACATCACCAGAAAGGAACATAAACTTGTCACTTAATTCCAAGTTTCTTTCTGGAGGGATCTCTTAAACACCTTCTGAATTTGCTATATACTCAAGTGTATAAGAGTTCACATAACCTCCTGGACTAGCCACACATTTCACATTTGAATCATTGCTTCTGAAAAGTCACAACAGTTTTGTTTTAACACTACAGCGTTAGCCTCACATCATAAACAGCAAAACCAAAAAATCCTAAGCACTGGCACAGACAATCATGCAGCAGGATTTTAATGCTTTCCAGTAAGTACACCTCAGCAACTAAGTCAGTAACTATTTTGATCAAATGCTATCAAGATTAGCCTGTCTGTCATCCTTCCTGCAGCACTAAGTTCAAGAAACAGCATGGCCAGTGGACACCTTTATTTGCATGATCAGTTTATATGCTTAAAGTTGTTTTGAATTCCAATGTGGTTTACATGTCTACACAAAGTCATTCAAGATTAAGCTTAATTAGGCATCTACATTTTACAAAACCAAAAGGTTCCTTACAGAAAAGGACTAAGTTCATATAGTTAGCTAATTTTAGGTATCAAGAGAAAAACCCCACACCCACACACTTCTCACACAGACACCAACACAGTCCTACCAACACCAAACAGCCACAGAAGATACTGCAAACCTATTGATTTTATACATATAAACACTCTTGTGCACTTCCCTCCACCATTTCCCCACTCACTTCTGAAATGTTTCACAGCTATTAAACTCTTTGGAGTTTTGAGACTTCCTTTCCCACATTCCCCTGTAATCTGGTAAATCCATTTCTCCTCGTTTACTTTACTGCAAGTTGTTAGTGCCTTCTCCAGTTCAGTGTCAATTCAGCCTTGCATACATCCTAACAGACATCACAGGGTATGACAAAACAGCAAATTAGTAGCCACATCACATTCATGTTACCTGATACATCTCCTCAGAGCACCGAGAAAATCTCTCAAAAAAAGGGCTCTCCATTCACCCTCCACTAGTTTAAAACCTTCAGATTTTCAGGTCCCAGTGACAACTCTTCAATCTAAGAGGCTTCTTACATCTACTTGAGAAAGTAAACCAGCCCACATATAAACTGGAAATCTGTTCCTTCTCAGTAATTCATGATGACAATTCCTCTTAACATTTAGATTTCTTTCAAAGAATGCTGTAACACAGATTTACTACAGATTTCATAATACACTATAAACATAATTACTAGCAAACATTAAAACAAAAGCCACCATTTGATTGAATCTACATGACAACTGAAACTTTCATCTTACTACATCAAGAAATGCATAGTTGACACAGTAATCCACTAAACCTTTTCCTCTGCAGAAGCTGACTTAAAATGCAACATTTCTAGACAGCCCAAAGAATCTAGCAACTCCCCTTCCTCAAGCACTACAAGTTTCAAATATATTTATTTTCAAATTCAAGGATTGCTTAAGTGCTCGACTTCAATCACACAACCCCCAGGTATTCGAAATTTGTCCCTAACAACTAAAGCCTCTGAGGTGTCATCTCTCCCTTTTCTTTTTTAGTTCACAAAAAACAGATGTCAAAAAAAACAAAGAAGCAAGTCCCAGGAGGTTCTTGAAGAAATGCAATTCCTTCATAACTATCTAAATTGACCCTGGAATCTCAAGCATGAATGGATAACAACAAAGGCTGGAAAAGCAGACAAAACTTGCTTAAAGGTTTATACTGCAAGTTTTATTCAGATTGGGCTACCTGTGCCTCAAGAGATACATCTCAAGCAGCTACAAAGGGCTTGTTATGTTAGAGAATAAAAACAGCTAGAAGTCATGAAAAGATCTTATTTGTGTAAGAGCAGTTTAATTTCTATAAAAGTTTTATATTTTATGTAGTCTATTTCATAAGGGATAATTGTATTGCAGCAACAAATTAAGAGATTCACCAATACCTACTGAAACTTCATTTTATAGAACCTCTGCTTATTTCAAAAACTACAGACTAAATAGTGTCACCTTTGGAAATCCAAACCCAAACCAATCACAAATACCCAATCAACGCATCACAATCTCCTCAGCTCTGCAACTATGAGAAAGAAGATACTAAAAACAACATCCTGGATTTAACAAGGAGTCCTAGCAGAAGAACATTAGAATGAACACTGTTAAAGAATGTAACTATTTTTGGATCAAGGTACAAAGTCAACTGGAAACAATTTGAAGTACAGCCATTATTTTATTGCCCAAGTCTGCCTGACCACATACAGATACAAGAACTAGCTTGAGTCCAACAAGCTCATTAATTCAGAAGCAAACTGCACAGAAACAGGCACTGGTTCCAAAGCTAGTTTAGGTCCAGGAGCCACCTTCATGGCAAAGCACCTAAACTAACAAATCCTGCTAGATCTTTACACAGGACCAGCTTCGTGTTTATTCACCACATTCCCAGCAAATAGGCAAGTAAAGAGAGGAGTCCATCAGAGCTGATTAGCCAGTCATGTTCAGCCTGGACTGGTTCCAAGCACTGCTCCAGGCTTCAGCAGCTCTCAGGGTACAGAGTGCAGTAAGAGGTAGTAACATAGCAGCAATTGTTTTGGGAGAACCTTCTACACTATGTTCCAGCATTTCAGGAGGATTTATAAACCAGGTTTGGTCCAGAGCTTGGCATCATACCCCAGAAGACAAGTATGTCCATAACCCAAAGTTTTGGATATAAGCACCACAAAAATAGTCAGTATCCACTTTGCAGGAGATAACCCAATTTAGAAGGGCTGCACTGAATCAGAGCTAGTAAGTACCCAAATTACCTGGATTATGCTAGCTCTCCTTTGCCCTGGAGAGTGGGTCTCTTCCCCAGCCATACTCTGACTTCACTGAATGATCCATGTAATCAAACCTGTACCTCAACTAATCATCACTGAGAGATCAAGATGAATAGCTTACTACCTAAAATGCACACAGCACTTGTAGAGATGTTCTGTTTCACACAGTGAAATCAAAGCAACCTTCTCCAGGAGTCACTCAGCTGCTGTCGATTGCTAGTTGAAATCTATACTGTAAACAAGTTACATTTATATATGTAGGCAGTCAACATTTAAATATAGTAAAGTTTTCTTGGTATGGATATAAAATGTATTCAAAATTATTTTAAGGCAAAGAACAAACCCACTTATTTTCAGTGCATATGCAATCTACGAAACAATCAAAGACATCAAGCTAATTTACAGATCCCTAGCATTGTAATTACTCAGCAGCTCCAGAGTTTGTTACCTTCTTAAGGATCTGGTTCACAACAGAACTGATCTTATCCCCAATTTCATTCTCATCTACTACTCCCAGAAAGTGAAGGCTGACTTTGTTATGAGAGCCAACAAAGAACACAAAAACACATTTACACGCATTTCCTAACATCATGCCTAATATCACCCACATAGTTTCCACAGATGATTTTCTATACTTCAGCAGTTTCTGAGGTTTATAGTGTGACAGATGTAACTTACTCCAGTGTAAATGCCTAATTAACACATACACACACACACTCATTCCCCTTCTCCTCCATCTCCGAGGAAGTAAATGTCTGGGATTCCCCAGTGTCCCAGTTTTTCAGAGGAGGTCAGCCTATGCATCCCCAGGTCTC